TGGACCAAAGCACGTCGAATTCCCGGCGCGTGAAGTTGGAGAGCGTGCGCATGCCTTCATCGCCAGAGTCTTGGCATGTCTTGTCGTAGAATGGGTTGGCCGTATCAGGAGCCTCGTCTTGTTGGTCGACGGTGTCGCCATAGTCTTGCAGGCATTGCGACAAGAATGCTTGGTCGGATGCGGCTTGGTCTTGAAAGCGTGAGATCATTGCCGCGACGTTGAGCACCATGTTTGTTCGAGAGGGCTAAAAAAGAGTGAGGTGAATGTATATTCAAGCTTTTGGCGCGAAGTCACGTGCTTAGGCGGGAGCCAATAAGAAGTTAGAACGTGTAAAGACGCTTTCTATTCTTATGGTTGCCGTTCCTTTCATTTCATCTCATCTACTGATCAGTTCATTGGTGTTAGAAGAATTTTAGCAGTATTTTGGAAGGGTGACGGTGGCTGTCGAGTTAACCGGATGTGTCGAAGGGAAGTCGAATCTGATATGGATATGAGTCCAATTGTTAAACGCTATACATATACAGGAAATAAGTTGGTATCTGGTTGGCAACTCAGTATCCGGTTTCGGGGCCTAGTGCTCCCTCAAGGTTTGCTCCCTACTCAAAATCAATTATCTGTGTAAAATGATTGATACAAAGTTTGTGGGGCTTGTTTGAATTACGAATGACCACTGAGAACAGGTCCGTCCCACTCGTTCTGGACAATACACAATCGCACAATCCGTGCGATTGTGTATTGGTATTAAAATTGGATGTTATCCTTACCAATATGAGACTGCTTATGCTCCCCCCAAACACGACCGCCTTCCTTCAACCCATGGACGCGGGCATCATTAGAAAGGTTTTGCAACTTATCTTTACATTACCATTATAACCAGATTCGTGACAAAACCAGTTGACAGGGTACGGGCAGGGTCAAATGATTTTGTGTTTTGCAATTTACCAACATCCATGTCATTACAATTTTCCGGATAAGTTGATATTTGGACTCATGCATTTTGACATTGGAGCCAAATCACGCGCTGTCATGCCGTTAACTCAAGGGGATATGTTGACTTTGGTTCCACTGGTAAAGACACCACGCCAGCGTAAGGCATTAATCACAATGCTTGCATTATACACGATCGAAAGGCCCCTAATACATGCTATCCGCTTCTCACTCGCCGCCACGTCTGACGCCAACGCCATACTCGACTATCGTTTTGACGTTGCCGGCATCCGCGAGCTCGGCTTCGTTTTGGGCCTACCCGCTGTCATAATCACTGAAGCACGCAATCGCGTCCATCGCGACGAGGCGATGTGCATCGTCCTGGGTCGTTTGGTCTTCCCTGTGCGGTTCCACACTATGTCTGCTGTGTTTGGTCGGTCGCGATCCGCGCTGTGCGAAATATTTTTGCACGTCGTCAACGAACTTTGCTCACGTTGGGGTTGTCTGCTCTACTTTAACAAGACATTGGTGTCCAAATACATTGCTCGGTACTGCGCCGTGGTGGTGCCCAAAGGGACCCCGCTATCCAACGTCTTCGGCTTCATCGACGGCACGAAGATCCAAACCTGCCGCATCGCTCCGAACAGTGACGGCAACAACTTGCAACGACAACTATATAGTGGCCACAAGAGAATTCACTGCCTCAACTACCAAGCCGTCACTGCTCCCGATGGTATATGTGTGCATTTCTATGGCCATATGGAAGGGCGTCGTCATGACACAACGATGCTTCGCATGAGTGGCTTGATTGAATTTTAGGAACAAAATTCGAGTGTATTTGATGGACGAGTCTTGTATGGTGATCCTGCATATAGTATATTACCATTTTTGATCTCTGGATTCAAAGGCATTAATTTGTCTGCCGAGAAAATGGAGTTCAACAAGCGGATGAGTCGTGTGAGGCAGTCTGTGGAATTCAACGTTAAAGTTTTGAAAACGTTGTGGTCTTACATAATATTCAAAAGTTTGGGCAAAATTCGTCTCTCCCCTGTTGCAAAAGTGGTTGCAGTAGCAATGTTGTTGACAAATTGCCATTGTTGCTATTTTGGCGGGAATCAAATCAGCGACTATTTTACTTGCAACCACCGATACTGCGAGAGTATCTTGACACACTGCAGATCATTGACATTTAATACAATATGTATTATTCGCTCACAACCTTTCAATCATCATGCGCATCAACAAGTAAATTGATTCCTGTTGCTGACGTTAACTGATCGGCCATCATTTGCCGCTCAATACGCCTTTCTTCAAGCTCCATACGCCGCTCGTCACGCACCTTCTCTAATTTTTCGCTTTGAATCCAAATCAGCCTTGACTTGTTCTTGCATCAGCGCGATAATTTTCATAAATTTACCACCTCCTGAGCTTGCGTCATCATCATCTTTCTTGCGCTTTCGCTGGTCGAGTGGCTCCATGGCTTCTGCACGTACAAGACTTCCCATCATCTCTGCGTGATTGGCGGCCTCTCGACTCTCGTCCGCACGGCGCAAGTCAGCCCTCTTGGCGTCGTCGTATGCAGCGAGCAAATCGTCCAGCAGCACGATCTTTTCGTTCTCATCCTCGTCCACGCCAGGTGCAAGCGCAGACTCCTTGTCGTGCTTTCGATGCGCATCCAGTAGAAGCATGATTTGGTTGCAAGCTCGTTTTGCGTCGATCTCGAGGCGGCTGAACTCGTCGGACTCGCGAAGGGCGGAAGCAACGGCGTTCCAACGTTCCACGACAAGACCACGCCGTGCCTCAAATGGCATCTCTAGGGACACCTGACGAAGAAGCATTATGTCATCTTCGTCAGAGAAGTTGCGGCGCTTGCTTGGCATAGCCATCGCCTGGTTATTGTGTTGGAGGTATCGTGTGATGACAATGATGGTTGTCCGTACAAATCATGAGATCCAGTGATTTGCGATTGATTTTGACAGTATCATTAACTAAATTTGAGAGGCAGATTTCTGGTTTTGGCAGTCGGCCTGATGATAGTGATAATGATGAGTTGCAAAACCTTTCTATTGCTGCTTTCAAGCGGCACTACAAACGTTGTCAGCTTGACCATGTGACAGAGCTGGTTGATGGCATTACCGAGGCAATTGAGAGTGGAGTGAAGAATATGTACGCCGTCGACGTGTTGACGGCCATGAAATGGTCAATTCAGGCCTGGGATTGTGTCACATTCGAAACTGCTGGAACCATACCGGCATTGTTTCCCACGGCCACTCAATTCAGCGATTGCTCAACTGATAACTGTCAAAATCATTTATCGTGTTTCCTTTGTTCTTTTGTTTTCCTTTTACAATTCATTTTTTGGTGAGGGAGCAAACGTTAAGGGAGCTCTGTAGTACAGACCTGATGGAAAATATAGACGCACCTGCAAATTCGACGGTTTGGAAAAACCATATCCAATTTTGGAGTTTCTGACAATGGATTTCTACTGCACAAGGCATTCAAAAATCAACACAAGAATGACAGCCCAAAAATATCGCCTGCACATTGACAAAGTCGATAAAGACCAAACTGAGGGATGATGCAAATTATAGACGCACAACATCGAGTGCAGCTATTCGTCGATTGCGTTACCATTTTTCAACACTACTTGAGCCATTCGTGTTGGCATTCCATCTACGAGCTTACGCAGGTAGGACTGTTGGATTTTATTCCAACAAACACGGATCTGGGCACGCAATTCCTCGACAGTGTCAAACTGACGGCCATTTTCGTACACCAGCCACGACAATTGAACCCAAACATTTTCAATTGGGTTCAAATCCGGACTCTTGGCAGGCCACGACATCACATCAATGCCTGTGTCCCTCAAATGCGCCATAGTTTCTCTTGAAACGTGGATAGATGCGTTGTCTTGTTGAAAAATGGGGTCGTGAATGTCATGGTCGCGACAAAGGTTTCCCAGTAGGGGCAGCAAATGCATGTCCAGAGTACGGCAGTAGCGTGAACTGTTTTGTTTCCCCTCGAGGAAGGCCAACTCGCTGCGTCCATACGTGGTCATCACGGCCCAAATCAAAACACTTCCTCCGCCGCACGCACGCTTCGTGAAAATTTCTTGTTCCTTTCTGAGGTCATGCCAGTAATATTGGTAGCCATCTGGGCCGTCCAAGTTGAATTTCTTCTCATCGCTGAACGCGACACGTGTCCAGAGATGAGATTTGGTCATCCATTCGGTTGCGAACTTGGCTCGGGCGTTTTTGTGGCGGGGCTTGAGGGCTGGGCGAGGTTTACGCTTGATGTACTTCGCCAATTTAGTGGAGCGAAGCCATTGACGCACAGTAGATGCCTTGACCTTGTAATTAAATGCATTAGCTATGTGCTTGGATGACATTTGCTTGCTGGTGGCCATTCTGAAGATTTGGCGGAGCATTCGCTTGGTCATTTATGGCTTGCGACCGGGTCGTTTTAGAGGCTTCGTGTCGCGCAATTTGCTAAGGCAAGTCCGAATGGCCTTTTCGCTGCAGCTAATGTAGCGTGCAATGTGGCGATTGCTTTTTCCTTCGTGATTAAGGGCTTTTACGGCGCCAACTTGCTCCGATGTCTACTTTTTACCCCGTGGCATGCCAAAATTGCAATGACATGAACGCTATATGTTCCAGGGCATGATGTGAGCGGCTGGAAGCTTCTAGAATGCCAAAATCAGCTGTAAAGTGTTCCTGATGTTGACTTTTTGTAGACAATAGACAGATTTCGCAAATCTTGGTTCTGTTCTATCTGTAACCTAAAATTCAGAACACAGATAGAATGAAACCTCACAACCATTGAATTTCGCAAGTCATCCGATTCAAACAGGTTCTATCCGCTAAATTAGTTCAATCAAAATACACCTGTAGCGACCTCATATCCACAAATGCTGGCATGCCATGAGATCGAAGTGCTTCTTAAGAAGCGTCACGTAGCCAAATTCCGACCACGCATGCGGCTTTTCCGTCTGCTTGCTTGCGTCGTTGAACAACCTCTTGTACCGGACGTTCGTTTTGATCTGCTTTCGTTGACGGATGCCGATGCCACATTAAAGTTCCGTTTCGACGTCCAAGACATTCAACGTCTCGTCATTGCGTTGCGCCTTCCCGAGGTAGTAATCACTGCTTCACGTGACCGTTGCCTCGCGACCGAAGCGCTTTGCATCGCACTGTACCGCATGTCCTACCCACGAATACTCTACGACATGATGTCCACATTCGGACGATCACGCGAAGCCTTGTGTCGAATTTTTAACGACACAATCGACATTTTTTTGCACATTGGAGTGGCGTTTTGTACTATTGCCTACCGAGCGCTGCCAACCGATTGACAAAATACGCTGCTGTAATATATAAGAACAAGGGATCGATGATGGACAACATCATTGGTTTCATCGACGGAAGCAAGATTGAAACGTGTCGCATCACGCAGAAACGAGGCCGTACGGAAGACGCGTTGCCGGACTTACAGCGCTTGCTCTACAGTGAGCATAAACGTCGTCATTGCCTCAACTTTCAAGCGGTCACTGCACCTGACGGATTGTATGTACACTTCTGGGGGGCAATTGAAGGCTCTCGCCATGACGTGACTCTGCTTCGCTTGAGCAAGCTGGAATCGTATTTGGACGAAAATCGCAGTATTTTCGCTGGATTTTTGATTTATGGCGACCCAGAGTACGGTGTGCTGGATTGGATTTGATCAGGATACAAAGAACATGAGCTGGACGCCAACAAAAAGGAGTTTAATTCAGCCATGAGTAAAGTCCGACATTCCGTCGAGTGGTCTTTTGGAGTAATGAAAAGACATTGGGCGATGGTGGGGTACAAAATGCAACAAAAGATCATGCTACAAAGCGTTGGCAAGGTAATCATGTGCGCAATGATATTACTAACTGCCACTGCTGCTATTATGGCGGCAACCAAATCACCGACAATTTCAACTTGGCGCCACCCCAACTTGAGGAGTATTTAGTTTTGTAAATAATCCGATACTACTTGTGCAAAATTTCATTGATCAACACGAGAAGAAGGAAGACATATTTACAACTAATGTTTATTCATCTCGATCAATTGACGATTGAGTGTCATAATGTCTTCCGTTCGTTTGCGTTCGTCCTCTCGTCGTTGGATTCGTTCCATTCTATCCTTCTCACGCTCTTGAAGCTCCATTTCAAATTTGTGTTGTTTGAATTTGAGCCGTTCGTGCTCCAACTCAATTTCACGATCTTGGGACTCAAAAATTGCTTTACGTTTCGTACTTACCGCATCACTGTCAGTTGAATCGTCTGGTTCGACCGACGGGCGGCGACCACGACGCATCGCTTGTTCGCGGATGTGTGATGCTTTTGCTTCCTTTTAGCTTGCCTCTGCCGTTGTTGTGGCCCGTTCGGCTTTGCGCTGTTCGGTGTGCTCCTCATACAACTGCAGCACTTCGTCCAAAAGTACAATCTTGCCGGTTTCATCTTGTGCCACTCCCGACATGTACTTAGAAGTCTCTTGAAACTTTCGGTGCACTCGGAGCAAGTGGAAACAGCGACTTGATGCCTTCTCCCCGTCCAGTCCATTTCTCGCAAACGATGGAGCCTGCAGCAGCTTGGCCGCGTCGCTGTCCCAGGCTTTGGCAGTGCTCTTTGCGTGCTTGAAGGGAAGGTCATTATTGACCTGGGTGAGAAGGCTAAGGTCGTCCGCATCACTCCACCATTTCCGCGCTAGGGAGTCTGCATCAGGCTGCACCTCATCAGCCATGATGGCGACACGAAATGAGACTTTATGCGGATGAAGCACTGGTTGTAAAATCGTGCAATTTTGGCATCGGCTGCAACAAGTTGTCACAGGTGGGTTCCAAACTTATTGAAGCTGAGAGGATAGGTTGCAGATAGAACAGAACCTGCGTTTGCGAAATCTGTCTAATGCCTGGTGCGTCTATAATTTGCATCACC